AATTTAAAGAAATAACATGTCCGCAATAGTCAAGAAATTCTTAAGTAGCTTAACTCTTACTAAACCCCCTGTCATGATATACTTTACACTAGATATATTATAGAAGTCATTTAAACTTACATGGAGTTTGAGTAGTAAATGATCTCCACAAATGGTAATGCTGACATATTCTGACAGACTCGGAGAATTCACTGAAGAACTCACTCTGATATCTCAATCATGGCTTTTTATACTTAAGAAATGGTATCAGCGTTGTTCTAAAAGGAACCAAAACCATAACTACGGCACATAGTTCCTGGAATCCGATTGGCTATTTCTCATGTAACATTAAGGCATGGCATATGTTCTAAAACTCGTATATATATTTTCTCAGTTTTCTTAGAGTTTGGCACGACCTTGTTTGTATCTCTGATGTGCTTAGAATCCAAGCCACTCAACCTCTGACCAATACATGTTTCCTTTCATACACCCCAGCTTCGTAGAGCTCAAGTTTAGTGATTTGGTTTCTATATCTCCTTAACCTGAACTCCTCCCTGAATGTGGTATAAGATATTTATTGATATCTTGACAGAGCACCCTACATTTCATAACTTTCCTGTTTACCTGTCAATTTATCGGCATCTGTTTTCTGCTGGTAAAATGAATTGCTGTTGTTGTTTTTTATGTAATATTACAGGCTTTGAATGTATTTCCAATTAAGCATGTGTCCCAATGGGGGTGGTGATACCATTATAAGCATAGTGTTTATTAATTTTCATTCATCTATTGAGCTCTTTTGCTGTTATAAACCTAAATTTTTGTACATATTGCTGGAATTCATTAATGGCTAGTCCTGACCTTTTAGGTGGTAAGTGTTTAGTTTCTTCTAGTGCAGTCTTCAGCTTTGAGATTTCTGAATTAAATAGTTGTAGTTCTTCATGTCTTATGAGCATTTGTAAATCTGGGATCTTTATGTTAAGTTGTACACCCATATACTTGGTCTTACTTATGAGACTAGATGGTAAACTTATTCCTTGTCCATGTGCTGAACAGCTTACAACTTTCACTAATTTTAAATAACCATTCCCTTTTAAGGTAATCGCTTTGGTTTGGTAATTAAATTGGTGCACATCAGATTTTGTGTTTTGGCCTCTGATCCTTAGCTTCACTACTTTGCTTAATGCTAGTGTTTGGCATCTGACAATTAGCTTGAGTCAGCAGGAAGATATCGTGTGGCTAAACTTTTGCACATAAATCAGAAGCTATACTTTCTTCAAAACTTTAAGATATCTGTGTGAACATCAGATTTTGTGTTTTGACCTCTGATCCTTAGCTTCACTACTTTGCTAAATGCTAGTGTTTGGCATCTGACAATTAGCTTGAGTCAGCAGGAAGATATCGTGTGGCTAAACTTTTGCACATAAATCAGAAGGTATAATTCCTTCAAAACTTAAGATCTCTATGTGCGGCATACTTCTGGTAACAGATATTTCATTGTCATAATCTCTCAAGAAATCTTGCTCTAGTATACCCATCTATTTCTAAATCTGTCTGTTTACTGATGTAAAATGAATGTTCAATCTGTAAGTCTCCCACTTCTTGTTTAACACTATTTTCCTAGTGTTTTAACAGAATGCTCTTCTGTAGAAGTTAAAATACTTTTTTGAAACTTCCTTCAATGCATTGTCTAACAATATCAGATTTTTATTTACTAACTCGGGAGAAGATCGAGTGACTGTGCCAACTAATAACAGAAATTCGGTACTTTATATTTTTACTAAAACTACTGGTACTCCTTTGTTAACACCATTAGCACTGCATCTAATTTTGCTTTGTAATTTCCAACTGGAAGTACGTTTTTTGCTTCACCAGAAAATGCTGATTTAGCAGTATTGTTCAAGAATTTTTTTCTTAAAAGTTTTAGCCTTTCAAGTTTTTTCTTTTTCTGCTTTCAAAGGGCATCTACAGCCCTTAGCTACATAGATACTTAATCCACAATTAAAACATTCTATCTGCTCGCCCGTTTTTTTTTTTAAGCAATTTTAACGTAATACTCTAGCTTACTGCTGTTAATATATTTTGTGCCCTCTGGCTTATTTTATTTCTTACTCTGCCAGTCTGTTCTATCATTTCTGTTATTTATTGTAAAATTCTGAGGTCTGTATATCTGTTTTCTTCTCTCAAAGCTACTTTCATTAAATCTAACAGAGTCTGAAGCATTCGCTTCATTTACATTTCTTCGTGTCATTACTGGTTACACCTTTTTCATGGTGTGACTTTAAAGTATATTGTATCATTTACTCGTTAGCGTATCTTTATGTCCTATACAGTCTGTCACCTAGCTCCTGTAATTTTTGGTGTTCAGGTTTTGTTATATTACTGTATACTGTACCGAATCCTTAAACAAATCAGCACTGTAATTAACTAACACACACATAATTTTTAAAAAGTTTTATTTTCACTCATATTTATTTCATTTACTACCCTACATACTCGTGATTACATTAGAAGTGATGTGGTTTGTGAATTGTAAAGAAAAAAGTGTTAGAGATTTTCTGAACCTATCATATTTTCATAAATATATTGATAGTTTACTCTGTTGTCGATGTTTTTAATATACTCTTGAGTTACTCATCATTAAAGTTGGATCCAAGAGATTAATAATAAGAAACGAACATTATTATTTCATGGATACCATCACAGCATCTTTTTTTTTTTTACTTCATTTAACACGTGGTATTCATTTGAACATAAGGCACCATTAATACTTACCATCACAGAGGAGTTTGTGAAGCTCTGAAAAAATATGATGTTCATTGTACATTTTCAAATCTAGCTTACGCATTCTGCAGACACTTGTAACTGTTTCAACTATAATAGAGTAAACTCCAATACCAATGCTTTAGTATGTAGCTTACATACATGGAAACTTCCGAGTATTAACGTAATACTTATAAAATATTATAGTGGGAATTTTATTCTTGACATTAATTTTGCAAAATTCCTTTCAAGTCTACATATCTGTGAATAGGCCAGTATCTAAAGTAATGGCTACACTGAGTCGGCTAATATCAGTTTCTTCATAAGTCTCCCATAAAACTAAAACACACCACAATGTTAGAATGTCTTGTATAATAAAGCCCTGTCCTTGTCGTTAAAAAAGTTTTATCGTGTAGTACATTTTAACCCTGTGGTGTGTTTTATAAGTCTGCACAAGTATTGTTCTACTCTTATTTACAATCTTGCAGTTAGGATTTTTTTTAAAGCTTTAAACGCGCATTAAATCAAATCCGTGATTAATGAAAATATAGTTTTATTCGTGTAATTATAACTCTATATCCTCTGTGTAGTTGCACACAGAGAAAATTGTGTCTTTATTTCTGGTCACATGGCTTTGCTTGTTAGAAGTTTTAGGAAACAATATACCTTTTAACAACTTGCGTTGTTAAACTTTTATCCGTAAATGGCTTAATTTTTCTGGTCAGCGTCGCTACACCACAAAAAAGAACATCTTAAAACATTTGTATCTATTATTCTCTTTTGTACCAAAACTATAGTATTGTGTGTGTAATCAGTTCCCTAATCTACTTATATTTACAATGTTTTCTTGTGTTTAGTCAGCGGAGACTGTTACTTGCTTCTTTTCTTTAAAGTACAAATCATTTTCATGGTATATATATTACATCTGTAAATCTCTCATTAATTCGTGGTGAGACCTGATACATTTCTAACATTATACATTGAAGGTTTGGTCAGTTTTTACTACTGTGAAATCAGTTTTACATATTAGAAATTTTTTAGCATATCTTATTCTTAGTTATACCAAATCTTGAGCATAAAAGATGTTTTATTTTGAAACATGGTACTAATTGTACACTGTTTAGAGAAGTACAAAAGTGAACAAAAAATCAGCCCCATTTTCAGAACAATAAAACTTAAGATAAACAAAATCACAATTATAGGCTTCATTTGTCTCATCATAAGATGAAAAAAAAAAAGGTAACTGACGTAAATGAAAAGAAGTCTCATCAACCAGTGCAGACTTGTCTTGGCATCACTGCTTTGTGCTCAATTCCCTGTTCGCTGCTTTAGAGGATTGATTTTTTGTTGTTGTTTTTTTTAATCAGATAGTGTTGTCATGTTTATATG